TACTTATGTGTCTATCTTTAATGAAACCTGATTGTGTTTCAGCAACAATATGAGGTAGACCCATTTTTAATCGAGTTGCATAAACTGATGCCAGAATCTTGTAATCAATAGTAAGGAGAGTGATAGGTCGCCAGTTTTCTATCAATAAGTTGTCTTTATCTGGTTTCAGAATTAGTGATATAACGCCTTGTTTCATAGTTGTCCTCATCTCTCCCTGACCCACACATTCACAGTACATACAAAATAAAGGTTCCTGAATGATGTCCCAAAACTGAATATAAAATTCAACTGAAAGCCCATCTATTCCTGGGGATTTACCCTTTTTCATTGAGAAAAGAGCAGTTTGGATTTCCTCTCTGGTCAGGTTAGAGTCACAAGTTTTTTCCAAGTCCTCATCAATTGTGACTATGTGTTTTTTAATCTTACCAATAAACATTACACAAGAAGGGTTGTTGAATTCTGATTTGTACAAGTTGCTGTAAAAGGAAAAAACAGAATCAGATATTAATTTTGGATCCGTACATTTACTACCATTAATATTAAGCATACTTAGTGACTTTCTTTGACTGTTTCTTTTCTCCGAAGCAAAAAAATAGCTGGAGTTTGTTTCCCCCTCTTCCAGCCACTTGGCTCTAGATCTCACAAATGCACCCCTGGCTAACTCAATATAAATCTAATCTATTTTTAACTGTATCTCCTTTACTTCTAACTCCTCTTCAGAAGATAAGTCGGGTTTAGATAAGAGGAAACCAATTCTGCTCAGTAATTCAGCTTCTGTTTGATTTTTGAGGGCTTTTAACTCTTTACTTCTCTTTACAACAATACTTCTTGTCATAAACTTGAAGTACTCCCATTTTTGTGTATATTCATCGTCCGCAATTTCATTCAAAATGTCACTGGCTAGACATTTTATACTATCATTAAAGCAGTTGTCTTTAAGAAGGGCATTATTCAATTTCCAGTATCCTCGTAACTTAGTCGTATTCTGTGAGCCCCCTAATTTCAGAGTGATTTTCTTATGATCTGACAATGGAGCAAAAGAATGGGAGACATCTTTCACATACTGAAGTGCAGAGGAAGAAACTAAAAAAAGATCAATCCTGGATCTAGATGCAAGGTTACTCTTAGACCATGTCAAATCTTGTATATCTGGGTTCAGAAAACGCCATGTATTGGTCAGGGAGAGATCTGAGCAAAGTTTCGAAACAATATTGTTGTTCAGAAAAGATTGACACAGTTTTGGCGGGCATCTATCTATTGCATCATCAGGACGCTCATTAAAGTCGCCCCCTAAAATGACGTAAGAGTTTGGATATTTGTGTGATAGCTCATTTATTTTTGAGGTGATCTGACTAAAAAGTACCTTATTGGACGAGTGAGAATTCTGCCCATAAATATTACATACTATGAAATTTGAATGATCATGCTTGAAAATGATGAGAATCCATCTCCCATCCTGTGAAGACACCACCTCGAAGATTTCCCCTTTAAATTTATGCAAACAAATGGAGACTCGGGCAGAACGGTTAGTACCATGACTACAGTAAATCTGATTTCCCCACTGCCCTTTCCACAACTTTACATCTGACTCACTTGAATGTGTTTCTTGTAAAAATATGAAGTCAGCCTCACTATTTTTACAGAATAGAAAAGTGGCTTTTCTTTTCAACAAATGGCGTATACCTCTGACATTCACTGACATAACCGTTAGAGAATCAAACTTAAAATCCATCAAAAATAAAAGGATAAAATAATGAAGTAGCTCTCACAAATAAATAAGAAGAACTTTGAAGTGTGTTTTAGATTCCTTAAAGGAGGAAGTGATAGACAGTCAAAATAACTTGTGACTATAGAAAAATATAGTGTTGCTACCATAAACAGTTTCAATTGATTTAATCGATAATTATCAAACACATTGGGTTAAAGCCAGAATATTGCCGTTCAAACAGAACACATTTTCTGTCATTGTAAATGATATAAACTAAATATGATGAATGTTTTGCTGCTCAAAAATACTATTGCTCTAATAGTTAAGCAACGTTGCAATGCAAGTTATGAGTGAATAATGAATGAATAGAAGAGAAAAAAGAAAGAATAATACATTTTGATGATATTTTTTAGCTTCATTTATCTCCCTTACCCCTTGGAACAAATCATATTTGTATCAAATTGTATAAGGGTGTGGGATTAATCCAAATAATGGAACTGCTGCTGTCTTTAACAACGACTTTCTTCCACAATAGCAGGTGTCTCTTAATATGGACAGTTTGGAAACATAGCAATCTTCATCTGTCACCTCCAAAAGTGAATAGTTCTTAGTAATGCGTCTGTGCATAGTGATGTCCTCCCTGGAGATGTGAAATGTTTGGAAACAGCCTTCTTCATCAGTCATCAGCCAAAGTTAATAGTTCATAGTCAATAAGTTGATGCAGAGTTCTTTCTAAACACCTGGAGACGTGCAGTGTGTAGGAAGCTTTCCAAACTGTGTGACTCTTCTCTTCATTTGTCTGAGGAAAAGGCTTCAATCAATGTCTAAATGCTCAATCTTCTTCCCCTCTATCAGAGCAGAAGCTCCTAGGAAGGACGCCTTTTTACCTTCCTTCCTTGCTTTTTCCACAAGGGGCCAAAGTTTTTCTCTAGCCACTCGATCCTCCGGGGAAAGTGCCTCGGTGAGACGCGGCTTGTTGTCCCGCAGAAACTTGCAGCCCTTGGCACTCTTCCAAACAGCATCCCGGATACGGCGCAGCGCGAAGAGGATGATTAGGGACCGGTGGGATCCGTCCTTTCTCTTCGGACCAAGGCGATGCGCAAGGTCGATCCCCTCCTGTAGATATTCATGAAGTCCCGGGGCAACTTTTCCCAGGATATGAATCAGCACTGCTCTCACGTCTTCGTTCATCTCCTCTCTTACTCCGTGTAGTTTCAGTGTCCATCTGTAACTGGAGCGCTTGTTTTCAGCAACTCCTGCCCTCAGAATCCGCTTCTCTTTTTTCACTTGTTCAATTTCTAACTCTGTCTGTTTCAAAATGTCTTTATGTGGCGACACGAGGGTGGT